TTCCCTCCTCCTTCAAAGGTTCAGTGGCAAACTAGCAAGTACACTGTTTTGCAGCTTTTTATGGCAGAACAACTTAAGTCTCCCCTCCAGGTCAATTGGTTTCAAGGTTTATACCACATGACTTACAGCTTGAAGACTAGGGTTCTCTGGGAAAAGCACATTCAGAAAACTGTGGTTACTGCTTTATTGCAATAGTTAACCTCAGAATAACACACCTTTATCTGCTGGCAACAGTAACAAATAATTACCCAGTAGCTTTTATTATTGCTAACTGAGTTACAACCTAATAACTTAGCAGTAATTTAATTCACTACATTCACTAGTGATTACCCATGCTTTAGCTTTTTTGAAAATTAAAAGTAATTATGTTACATCATATTTTGTACTTTATGATGAAGGGAACTGAATTTGCACAATTTTTTTAAAACTTCTATTATCAGTTCTTCATCTTAAACTATTAAATATATGCCCTGGAAAGAAAGCCAAGTCCTAACTCCAGAACAGTGAGGGTTTCTACAGAGGATGGTTTCTACGACTAACTCTGTGATTCAATTTGAAAATTAAAGGAGCACTGATATCAAGTGTAGCATTAAGAAAATTCAATCAATTTATGATATCTGCTCTTTTGAATAGAATTCATCAGTACATGAAAACATTTCAGTGGTGGAGCAATAGGAAATTAATTTGAATAGGAGACATCTGAAAACAGGTAAAGAAAACTGCAGTAATACTTCACTTCTCTACTATCTTCAATACCATGTGAAGTGATGGTGTATCAGGACTCATATCTGCTAAAATTGGCTGTCCAAAAGCCAGTGCAGAGAAGGAACTGAGTCTGCAATGGTTGTCCCTAAAGCTTTGTTCTAATCAGTCTAGAAAATCTGTTTATTTATAAACATTAGGGAAGCACCCACATCCTTTCTTTCTTTGGTGAATAGAGAAGAACATCACTTTTTATCATAGATGTTAGTTCTAGGCTACTTCATTGTACAAGCCTAGAAATATACAGGGAGAAGTGCAAAAAGATTTATTTCTCCTATGTGTTACAATTAAGATTTTCAGTCTAATAAGACCTTGTAGAGCTGTGTGCTTTTAGGTGATTTACTGTTATTCCTGCTACTCCTGAGTATTTCAGTTGAAAAAAGTGACTTTGTGGGAAAATGTTTTTATTTCATGTTAAACTGACTCGAGAAAGCATCCCACATTTGGGATAAATTTAACTATGTTGGAGGGCTGTTGAAGTCAATGGGTCTCCAAAATATGGAGACATAATTGTATGTGTTCAAGTGCCTTCTTAAATTTGGGCTGTGGTTGCCCTCATCTCTTGATTAAGGTTATTACTTTACAATAATTACTGACCTTCAGTCTCTGGGGTTGAATCTGCGTGTCCAGTTCCTAAAAAAAATATAGAGCCTGTGAACAGATTTATCTACGGTAAAAACTTCCAAATAAGACATAGCTCCTATAAAAATAAATTTTTGTGGGTTTAGTAGCTGGTTGTGGTAAACTGAGCCTAGTAATTACTTTCTGAAAGCATCATCGTTCCTCCAGTGTAAATCTGTTTTGTGACTTAGTTCACGGTGCCTTATCAAACCACACAAACGTGTTGTGTTCTGTAGCTGCTGGAGGTGAACTTTTGCTATTTAGGAATCTGCAACATTTATGTTTATATACAAAATTTTATTAAAACTTTCTGTTAAAATGGCTTTTCTTCCAGCAGGGAGATGTTACGGTACGTGAGCATGGAAGGAGGGGAAGTGTATTTCAATTTAGCAATAGCTGTTTGTGCAGTATGGTACAATGAGGAATGACAGCAGGAGCTGGGGTTTTCTGCTACCAGTAGGGATATATCAATCGGGTACTGCAAGTTTGTTTCACAAACATAGAAGTGTTCCAGTAGTCTGTAGTTAACTTGTTTAACCTTTTCAGAGTATGGTCCATTTTTATAGAAGTACACGTGGGATGTAACAACATCATTGTGTTTTTTCATGACTGTGCTGCTGCTGTTACTACTTATTTTTTAAAAAGAAAAAAAAAAAAAGGTGTAATTCAAGTATTTAACAATTGGCATAAAGTCTTACTGGTAAAGAAAGATGTTTCCAGCCAAAAGCAAGTTGTTATACTTTGTCTAATTTATTTCTACTGATTTTAAATATAAAGAAATTTAATCTGAATACTTATTTTCTGAAAAAAGCAGAAGGCTTCTTTTGTTACCATTGAAGTGCAAATAGTCTCAAGCTTCAGTCTAAAAATAGTCACTAGTCTCTAGTAGTTTTTCTTCTAAGTGCTATACAGTCATTAACTAGTCTTCCTCTCTTGAGTCTGTAGAAAGGTAGCTCTATTTTACAAAGGGAGGTACTGTACAATAGTATTACTTGCTTAACACTGCATATGAAATCATAGGAATAGCTCTGGTACTAGAACTCAGAAATCTAGTTGTGATCTTGTTTATCTACTAGATCACACTAGCTCAAGAGTAAATCCTGCTCGGTTTTAAAGTGATACTGTTACTATGGATGAATCCTCTATTTATAGTTATTGTGATGTAATACAGTGTTCCTTTTGGATTTTTAGTCACTGTATATTTTCTTCCCAAAAGCTGATAATGTATATGTAACGAAGTGCAATAAATTCTCAATCAGCATTGAGAACCACTGATGGCCAATACCTTCCCCCAAACATTGTTTTGTTTTCAGAATATTTTTGAAGTGATTTGTCAAGATAATGCAGTCTATGATTACATGCTTTGCAGAATTCAGCTTGGTGCAGATATATTGGAAAAGATTAAAACATAAATGTAAATGGTTTATATTTGTTCTAATTAATAGTTGCATCTTTTTGTCTGACGTAATGCTTTTTTTGTTTTAAATCAATTGACAGAATTCATTGACAAGAAGTGCACCCCTTGCCAATGATTCCCAAGCACGCAGTGGTGCCCGCTTTCATACATCTTACGACAAAAGATATATCATCAAAACTATAACGAGTGAAGATGTAGCAGAAATGCACAACATACTGAAGAAATACCATCAGGTAATACACTAATTGTTGTCAGGGTGTGGGATCTCTTCTTAAATATTACAATGCTAATCTTTTTTAGAGTGTTAAAATTTTAAATGAATAATTATGGAAAAAGTGTCACTTCAGACTTTTTCCCTTTTGCATGACCAATTTATCATATGTCTGCAATTCACAAGGCTGCACTTTTCTAAATATCTAAGCTAGCTTTAAGTAAAATTATATGTCTGAAAAATACAGAGATACTAACTCGGAGGCCGTAAGTTCCTTTGCCTTACTAGGAAGGTGCTCTTTCTTTCAGATAGTGGACTCCCAGGCTTGAAGCTAATTTTATTGTGGGCTGGCTTGGAGAGAGGTGTCTGTGTACGTGTATATGCACAGTGCAGGTGACCTCTTTCTTCCTGATCTGATCACTCAATGTTCTGTGTTTCACTAACAATGGATTTTAAACAATTAAAGTTATATTGTATGATAAATGAAAAATTACATATAAGTAATGTAAAAATCCTGTTAGTAAAAAAAACAGGTTTGCCAATGTGAATTTCCATAAACAGTAAAGTCAAAAACAAACAGTGGAGATCCCTCAAATCAGCCTTAATAACTGTCATACTGTGCCAGTGTATGATTTGTGTGGATGGTACACATCCACGTGGACGGGAGCAGAACTTGGGAAATACGAGAAGCCTTAATAAAGTCAGTGCTAATTTTCTTAGCTCCAGATCTGTTTGAATAAGCTCTAAAGCAGCAGAAATCAGAAAAGCCTCTAAAAATCATCTAAAACATGATACCTAATAGGAGGAGGGCTTTATCCTTCTTTCCATCTTCCTGCTTGCTTCTGTGGGTTGGGATTTTAGGACATTTGGGGTTGGGGCTTTTTTTGTTGTTGTTTTAGGTGGTTTATTTTTTGTCTTGCAATGTTACGGTTTGGTGGGTACTTTTGTAAAGCCAGTTATAAAGCCATATTTTGAGGTGGGAGGGAGCAAAAAGCATGCTTTTAATGTGCTTGGGATTTAAGGCATCTTTGTGATATTGCTTGGCTGTCTCCCTCTCTGACCTTCCTGTGTTGAAGGGAGATCTGTGAATGCCCTCCAACTCCAGAATAGCTTGGGAAGCCTTCAGTGAGTTGGATGTGAACTCTTCTCTCTCTGCATGTTGTTCTTCTGTTTAAATAACACGTAGGACCACTATGTATTTGTTTTAATGTAGACAAATATCATGATCAGAAATGTTCGTAAGACTTATCTTTTAATTACAATTTTTTCAAAGACAAATTTTAAACTATTATCTAATTGTAATTTGGGAAATTTTTTTTTAGAGTTTTCAAACTTACAATTTTAGCTTTGATCTGAAAGGGTTTGATCTGTGAAGCAGTGCTGCAGAATTAAAGTTTTAGTCCATTTCATATTTGGCATTAGAAGCTAGTATTAATGATCCAGATTTTGAGACTTAATCCAGCTGAAAAGTCATATTGCTTTTTAAAACAGTCATCTTCTTTCAAGAGTGTCAGTGAAGACAGTGCTAACATGAAAGAACTTAATAATTTGGAATCTTTTTTCATTAATGCTTTCAAACATCAGGGTTCATAATAGGCTAAGTTACAAAGAATAATGATCTGAAAGTTATCTGTACCAAGCATCTAATTTCACTTTATACTGGAAAAACATACATATAAGAAAGCCCTCACTGGTGCCTCCAGAAGATTCATAAAGATAGGACTTGTATTTCTTTTTTGTCTGAGAACTTGAGAGCCCTTTACAAAGCATTGTAAATGCAGAGGAACTCAAGCACAAAGACAGTTTAGTAATTGGACTTTTTAATGAAATAAATTAATTCCAGTATCTTCAGCAAAGTACTGAACAAAATCATTTGAATTAATTGAAGGAAATATAAATTAAATCCCACTAACTCTGGTGACAGCTGATACATTGTCCTGTGTATTGCTGCTGGAAATCGAATGTTTGGAATCATTAGGTACAGTAGCTTGCCCTCCCATTCCTTTAGATATTTTTCATAGAAGTGAAGCTTATCGTAGCCTGCTTGACAAAGTCTAGAGAACCCATTGTTCCAATGGAAAGGTTTTAGTAATTCCCTTGACCAAGTCATCCCACACAGGTTGGCCTTAGACTACCTTTCTAGTAGCAAACAACACAATGCCAGATTACATCCAGTGGCACTTGAGCTCATTAATGGTCCCTACTGTGGTTTTGCTTTGGGCCAGGTAGCTGTCTCCCGAATAATTCTGGGCAAGGTTCAAAGTATTAACTCAGGCCAGTTACAATTCCTACTTAGGAGTTTGAACATAAGCATCCTGTTTTAGAGGAGAACTTAACAATTTGGATGTGAGTTATTCCATTCCAACTAGAACTAATGCTAGCGGACTGCCCAAGACCCATCTAATTCACTGGTATGAATGTAACTTTATGGTTCTGTCAGATGGCATAGTTGTAGTAGTACAACACTTGTCAGATACTGCACTGGTACTACTGGGGAAATCTTTGTCAATAAAACAAGTTCTCTTGAGTTCAATTTTATTTTGGCATACTCTCTTCTGCTAATAGAGGAAATGTCAAGTTCCCTGTACCGATTTACATACTTAACTTACTGCCCAGTATCTTTGTTAATTGTAATTGTTGCTGCAGTTAAAGAAACTAATTGTAATTACACACAAAAGTACCAAATATGGGATTTTTTTAGGGAAAAGTCTGCTTGTTAGCTTTTTTCCTGTTTCAGTTCACTGATTGCCAGCAACACTCACGGCATATGTGAAAATTTCTGACCCAGCTAAGTGTGCTTCAAAGGCTAGGTGTGATTGTGTTTGGGACTGATTTGGGACTTCTAACGGCATGCCCTTACGTCATACCCTGGGCCAGGCTGCTCTTAGAGCAGAGCTGTATTTGAAAGGTTCAGCCTTTCCAGGAAGGGTGTGTGCAGACATGTTCAGACCCAGTTATGTAGTGCAGGGATCATCTTGGGAGGAATAACCTTTCTCAGGTGCATGAAGACTAGGGAGGTGATTTATCTGAATTTTAGAAGACTGTTTCTCCCTTGTTTAGACATCAAGTTACCCCCAAAGGACCTGAAGTTAAATCATCTATCCATTATGAACAGTAACTTGTAAACCCTCGGTATCTTGCACCCTCTTTCATCTGCCCAAGAAGGCAGTAATTGACTTCCAGTTATTTCTGATGTGATTATGAGCAGAATTCATGCCACTTTTGACAGATCATCTCTTTTCTCTCTCTTTCTCAGGATATTTTTTTTTTCCTCTCTACAAATTCATTCCAGGTTTCTACCCTGGGTTGAAACTCTGAAGGAGTTTCCTTTAAACCATAGTATTTACTCACCTGTTTCCTTATTCAGGCTAACAGCTCTGAGCTGAGAGAATTGTTCTAGACCTTGGAAGTACCTTTCTCCTTGCTTAGGGGCAAAACAAGTCATATCAAACATTTTCCAAGACTGGTTGAACTGCTTAACAATAAGTACAAGTGGACAACTCTGTTTAAACAAAGAATACTGGGGAGCGGACCATGACAAATCACAGGTGTGAGAGACTAGATATGTTCTTCATTCACCAAAATAATTTTCATCCCTGGCACTTGCAAAATAACTGTCATTCTGCTTGCACATTTTTGAACTACAAAGCTCCCAGTGAGGCATCTGGGAGTTAGTGTGGTCAGCAGAGAAAGATAGCAGGGCAGTTTTCCCATGAACACATCCAAAAATCTAATTCCCACGTACTGATGATTTTTTGTGAAGTCACCAAAGAAGAGACATATATATTGCCCCTGGAAAGTAGAAATAAATGTTATTTTATCGGTAACTGGAGACTGTGGAGATGTATAGTCCACAAACCCATCCAATTCTTTCCATCCTTCCTCTCTCCACCTGTCTGAAGGTACAGTAGCCTATCTGTTCTTTGGAGCTGTGAGGACCTGAGGTTATAGCTACACAGTGTGTATACTACAGGTGTTTACAAAAGAAGGAGGAATTGTGCATAGCCTGTAAACGCTTGTAAGTCTAAAAATACCAAGTCTAGATTGCCTGGTTTTTAATTAACCAAAGTTATAATGGACATGACCGTGCATCTTAGAGAAATCAGGTTATTTTCAGGAAATAGAATGGCTAGTATCTTGTTAGGAGTGAAAATAAAATTAGTTTGGCTGTGTTATTAGCTTTCTCCTTTCTGGGTAGAGTTCTATTGCAATATCACGTGGCATTTTGCAAAAGTAACCAAGTTAGGTGCATCACACTTTACAGTATTATTATCATGATTTAAAATAAAAATAAAATTATCAAGAGTAAAACCAAAAAGATAAAATTCCAAGCCTAAGGCTACATGCTAGAAATATGTAAATAACCAAAAGTGAACCAGGCTTGAAGGACTGTCAGGAAAAGTTACTACAGAAACAGCGTATAAGTATACATAGAAATTCCAAATTAAAACTGTTGAATTGTAAATAATAGTCCTGACAATTGTAAATTATAGTTGCTATCCAAAATTATGAGTTGCATTCATTCATTTACCCCCTCTGATGTGATGCCTTTTTTTTTAGTGGCAGTCAGTCCCACAACCTCAGACAGATGGTGAACACTTCAGTCTAAACAGTGATGCTTTCTGTCAACTCATCAGATGAGTCTGACACTTTTAGTACTTTGTAGAAACACTAGAGATCATTATTTTCTCTAGCAAAGTTTAAAAAAAAAAACAAAAAAAACAACAACAAAACACTAAGACCACCACTTCTAAGCAAACAGGGAGAATGATGTCTTTCTCCATGCTTAAAGTTGCAAACCATCCTGTTATTTATGACTCTACTATAATGTCCATTGTGCATGGACCAGCCTTCTGCCTACATTTAAAGGCAAAATGGCCTAAACTGTGAACCAGCTAGGTTTCTAAGTGTTATGGTAAATACAAAAATATATGACATGTTAGGTTCTTCTGCTATGAATTTCCATTCTAACCGGGTTCTACCTACTGTAATATTTTCTGATACATAGTGTGAAATACTGCT